GAAAGAACGAAAAAAAAGAAAAAAAAGGGGGGGCCCCTGAAATGAACGAGGGCAACAATCTCCCACCTACTGACCCCCCAACTACCGTAGTCAGTAGAAAAACCAAGCCCAGACCAAAAAGTAGCCTCGACTCCGCATCTCACCTTAGCTCACCTTACCTCCCCCCCGTAAGTATAGTAGGTATCTTACTAGTAAATGCCAGACCCCGTCCAGGCCCATGTATCTATCTACTATCTATCATACGAGTACCGGTAGAGCGGTGGTTTCCGACTAGCTCGCAACCCCGCCGATTCAATCGCACAGAATAAGTACTACGTACTAGGTAGGTACTTACGACGGGAGCTGTACTACTACATACTAACCTAAAGATACTAACCTAGAGATATTACTACTACAACTACAACAAAACCTTTCCCAGGTCTGACTTCCTCCACAACGCAACGAACCACGGAAATGGATCGAGTGACTGCTTTTAATCCAAGCACCGATGAGATCCCGACCCCTTACAAGAGAATAGTACCTAGGTACCGACCGGTACAGTCGATATGGGTGGGTAGGGGTGGGGACTAGGAGTAGGTACCTATTCATGGAGAAGGGAGGGGAGTAGGTGCCGGTAGTAAGTTGTACAGTAATTAGGTACTAACAAGTAGATTGATCACCGGTACTGTAGCTGTAGCGAGCTTCTCCTCCGCGCATCCATCTCATAAGTACTGTACCGGTATCTGTATACCATCTAGGGCTACGGAGGTAGGTAGGTAGCAGTGCGATTGAGGTAAGTGAGTAGCACTAGCACTACTAGCACCATTACTACTCTACCTAGGTACTTCATACCTGCCCACCTCCTCATGCACCCAAAGCCAAAGCCAAAGCCAAAGCGAAAGCGAAAGCGAAAGCGAAAGGAATTTTTTTTTGAAAGACGCGCACACATAGTGCGTCGCTGGAAAGAGCGAGTAATGCATGCCGTTCAAGACTTCAATTCAATTCAGTACTTACGGTACAGTAGAGTCCTGCAACGCAACGCAACGCAACGCAACGCAATCTATTCTCAAGCGATTTGCGCTCTAGCGGGTAGACGGACCGGTCATCAGACTTGATAGCGGTCCCGCACGGGTACCTACATAACTACCTACCTACGTAACGACTAACGATAGCCACGTGGATGGGACAACCTCCGAGAGGTGAGAGTATTCCAGTACTGGCAGATGTATAGGTATTCGGGACTGGTGATACGGAAGTAGGAAGTCTGCGTGATTTTTCAATTCCTCCACCTCTAGCACACGTACCATGCTGCTCATTCACTCGGAGCTGGCCGCGCAAGCAGGCACCCGTCTAGGTCCATATGTACAAACAAACCCCAACACAGAACTCTGTTCTAGCAACAACTTCAAAAACTCCGACTCGGTCAAAGAGTAGGAGAGGGGCACACTAAGAGGGTGTGCCGACGAATAGGACAGAAATAGCCCACCAGGGCCAACGCCACCAGAATCCCCCTCCCCAGAACGCCAACATCCAAACGTAGCGCCTCGCTAATAAGCCCGCACATCCCTCTTCTAAATCCCATCACATGTATTTCTTTTTCCATCAATGGCATTAATCCTCGTCCAATGGTATCGTGGCGAGGGGGCTTTTGCGCGTCGGAGAGCCAGCCCTAGATCTCCGCCCCGCCCCCAGCATCTGCATATTAGGTCCCAAGCGCTCCCGACTCTCCATTCGTACTACCAACCCCGCGCGGTCAAATGCATTTACGCTGCCCAGCCCCAACCCAACGCCCTCGTGCTTCGGCATATTCTCGTAATAGGTATTCGAATCAAAATTCACCACGCTCAGCTTGGGTGTTGCTAGGCCGGATGTACGGCCCAGACGCGACCCGGCGCTACCGCTGCTGTCCGAATTCTCATTATCATCGGAAGAATCGACATCGCTCATTTCAAACTCATGCGCTGATTCGCCATCTTCGAGAACACGGTCATAGTTCCCCGAGCTATGGCCTCCAAACAGCTTGTTGGAGTGGAAGAAGCCCCGGCCGCCCTTGCGAGGACTGCCTGGGCGGCGGTTTCGGCGGAAGTTGTTAAAGCTGCGATAGAGGCGTAGACGGCGCTCGCGCTTGCGAAAGAAATAGCAAGTGATGATGAGGACGAGCATGAAGAAGAGGAAGCCGGGAGTGGTCCGCGAATGAGCCTTTTCCGAGAGGTCCTCGACTGTTTCGGTCCAGCTGTCTTGCTCATCCATTGGTACCGGATTCGAGTTCGAGCCAGCCTCTTGGAAGTCGTTGTGGACCAGGTTGCTGCCGAATCCGACGGGGCCAGCCTCTGGAGTCGAAGGCGGGATTTGGCCTGCAGCGTAGAGAACCATCTTGCCCAATGTCCAACTCACTTCCATTCCATCGATCTTATTCACGGCTTGGAAAGAATCCATGAATCCTCTCTCTTTCGAGGAGGCGACCACTTCTTTCGTGCCGTTGTATCCGAATGCGACGCCCTTCTCAATCCCCACTCTCGGTATACCGATTCCATCATGGAGAACGTTGATCAGCCACGAGGCTTTGAAACACACTTCTTGCGCAGTTTTCTCGCTAACCTTCTTCCCCCATTTTTTCTCCTCCACACCTTCCTTAATATCATGCCACTCCTCGCTGCAAAAATCCTTCACCAGGGCTTGGTACGCGGTGAAGTCGTAAGCCTTATCCTTGTGGGCCATCTCGAACACCTCGTGCGTAGTATGCCAGTACTCCGAGACCCCGACGAAGTGATTTACATTAAAATCGATAGCAGGCACATGCTGTCCGTGCAGTAGGCATGGCAAGTCTGCGCAAGGGGCATCCTTGTCAAGAAGGGGGTAAGTCTGTCTCAAACATTCGTCAAATCGCCCCGTACCAACCAGGACAGGATCCTTGCTTGAGGATCCATCGATGATCTGCCCTTTCAACGTGGTTTTCAAGCCCGAGGGCAAGCACGGGTCTGGTAACTCGCGTAGGGATTTCGTGTACGTCGCATCCATAAGCGCTTCCACATATCGTTCCCTTGCTTGGTTCACTCCAAATCCTAGCCATGTGGCTGTGAAGACCTTGTATTCAGAGGAATCTCCATTCAAAGTTCTCATCCGTAGAAGCTTCAAGTCGTTGGCGTGCTTCTCTGCTTCGGTAGCATTAGGTGCGAAGGCAATCTGGGCCGAAGCACCGCCCATATCCAAGAATCCATAAGTGTGGTGGCCTTTGCCATGCATGTGCTTCTCGGGCTTATCGAAGCCTCCTAACAGGTAGTTTGCCGCGATCCAGCCGTACAAGCCTTCCGTCTCACCCGGGATGACCTGAATGTGCAAATCGCAGTCTGGTAACGAGAATTCCGTGTGTGCTCGCGCGTAGGTACATATCGAGTTCAACAGGGTTTTCTGCTGCAGGGGCTCCAGCAGGCGCACTCCTGCAGTGGCCATCAGAAATATCGGCGTATCCTTCACCTGGTCCTCCGGAATGATGTTCAAGGCATGGTCGAGTAGCTCCTTGAGGTGTTCGGGCCCAACCGCGTCTGGCCGGTCACCAAAGGTCGACACGCCCGGCTTGATCTTCTTCTCCGACTTCATATGGAGCTTTGGCAGTCGGAGCAGGTCCTCGGGCTTTGCATCGTGTTTGGCTCGGGCTGCATTGAGCCATCTGTAGACGTAGACTCGAGTTCCCGACGAACCCGCGTCCAGGATCACGCCCCATCGCCCTGCCAACAATCAGCACCGACCGCAGAAGGGGGCTGAGGAATACCACCACGTACATTTACCCATGAGGAGATTGGGGCGAGTGTGTCGCGGTTGAGACGAGAGCAGGAGTCTCTTTCAGTTGCGGGCAATAGATAGAAGGCAAGGCGACGATAATTCGTTGTATAGGCATCTACCGGCGGTTACGCAGAAAGCGGCGGGTAAAACGAATGTGGGTGTCGAAGACGAGGGAAGATGATTGAATTGAGAGATTGAGGAACGAGGGTGAGGGAGGGAGGGAGAGAGAATAAGGGAGAGCGCGAGGAGGTCCGGAGGAAGGGGGAGGTGGTATTCGAGGTGGAAATTGAGGTTGAGATGGTGCAAAGGTCTGAGGGAAGGACGCAAGGATGCGAAGGACGCGAAGTGAAGGACGAAAGAGACAGGAAGATAAGGCCAAGGCCGAGAGTGGATTAGCGGACGGCATAAGCGTCGGAAGTGGGGCCTTGTGTCATTAGTGATTCACGGCCCCTGAGGCCGCGCAGGATTGGTTGGAAGCTGGCCGGAACTTGGCCGGAACTTGGCCGAGTAGGGCGTAGTAAACCGCTTCCCATTTACTACTTACCTATTTAGGTCAAGCATCCTTCTTCACGACTCGAGCGACGAGGACCTACTACTAGGCGCGCTTGATCCTTCCCCAACTCCTCCGTACCGGTATCACGATCCAGGAAGATCAGATCAGGCCAGAGATGATCCGGCTCCTGTCGGGCGGATGCATCAGCCATTACAGATAGATACAGTATATAGGACTCGGAGTACAGTACAGTACTGTACTACTACTACGTGCGTTGTATACTGTCCGGTACCGATACTTCGTACACAATCCCCCACCAACCATCGCTTATGAAAAAAGACCCTGGATACGGGTGTATGCAGATATGTATGCATATACGTAAGCCTGCATGCATGCCGTGTAGCCTTGCATCAAAACAATCAATATTTATCAATATAAATGATCTGGCCTGATCACGGTTTCCGTAGCTACCTCTTCTGCACACCCACTACGGTACCATTGACCCGTTGGTTGTGTACTCTGTACGGGACTTCTTCCGCCACGAATAAGTAGATACACACATGCGGAGATAGTTGTCCGTACGTCATCTACGATCGGGATCGTCGGGCTCTCTTCTATCTGAAACCCCCATCAGGTATGACAAGTAGGGAGTTGTCGGTACTTAGTCGTATCTACCAGGTAGTTGTAGGTAGTACATCCGGTCGGACGGGACATCTAGTCTTGAATGGATAACAAGCCTCGTTTGTTACAGGTAGACGGCGGGATCGGGGTCACGTCCGTACTAGTCTGTGCCATTCGTGCGGCGGGTCGTACAGTAGTACTACGTACTAGTATATACGCTACGCCGTCCAGAGTACATCTCCCTACTCAACAAACAACAAGTGCCAAGGGATCCACGGGATCCCCCCATCCGATCCCCCTTATCCACCATCCAATCTACTACTACTTATCTATCAATCCAATCAAGCTACTGTGTCAGTGCAATCTCACAATCCCATCTCCCAGTAACCCACAACAACAAAAACAAAAACCCAAAACAAAGAAAGGGGGCCAAAAGGCAAGGAAACAAATTGCAGCTTCCCGAGTCCACACTTCTTAATTACCCCGGACCTACTACAGTACTGGTACGTATCGAAAATGGACCCCGCCGCCGGCCATTCATCCGGCCATTTATCCCATCAATCAACCATACCTACCTTACCTACCTACTACTACCTACTGTACCTACCCATCCCGTGCCGTCCCGTCCCCATGTGCAGTAGGTACCAACACTACTAACACCACTAACACTACGTAAGCAAGCTCCGTCGATTAGCTAACTACTACGTTAGTAGTATCAAAACAAAACACCAAATGACATCACCGGACTGAGCTTCGCGCTGATAGTAGTATCTATAGTATCTGGGCTTCGGGCCGAGTACAACTTAATTGTTTCCTCCATACGGGCAAAGAGTAGGTACATGCAGGCAGTCCGCGGTCGGCGCGCGAGATGAGCTGATTGAGTGAGTGATAAGCGAGAACAGTCGTCGCTGATGTTTGGTTTGAGCTCGGGCTTGGCAATACAGAGTACCGTACACACTCTATTCTTCTTCCCTTCTTGTTTTTCTTATTCGGGAAGTATCGTAAAAGTAAGCAGGCAGGTAGTAGGTACTGCCAGGCAGCTGTCAAGAAGGCTGGTGAACTTCAAATGCGTCCGTGCAGCAGATCAGTGGGAGGGAGTGTGGCGGCGTACTGGTGTGAACGAATAATCTATGGAATATGGATGGGTGTGTAGCTGAGCTGGTCGGGCTGATCTGGATACCTACGTATTACAGTGACTCTACGGACTATCACTGCCCGCCGCTACCTATCCTCTGATATTCCGCAGCGATCGTTCTGTCGTCTCTGCAAAAGTTTTGAAGATCCTTCCTCTCCTCTCCTCTCCTCTCCTCTTACCCTTTCTTGCTATAAAGAATGCTTCCTCGCACATTGCTCTTCCAGCCCTTGAATCCCTTTGGTTCGCCTCAGCCGCACACCTCCCGTACCAGGCCTCCTCGTCGTCTACTGGTATGGGAGGCACATATATATCCGTATCCCACTCGTAATCCACTCATATCCCACTCATTTTTACTCGGCTTTCATCCATCCAGTCAGTCAGCCAGCTATTCGTCATCCATTCGACCAACAAACCATCTCCTCCCCGCCCCTCAATCCCCCTCTGCCCTCTCCAAAAAATCGGGATCATTTCTAACCCTCCCTTCAAACTTTCTCCACCAATCCTCAAACGCCTTCAACGGCACCACCTCCACGCCCCCATTCAGATTCCCGCTAAAGCTCGCCAGGAAGTTAAACGCGTTCTTGATGATCCGCTGCGCCAGCACTAACGTCTCTGGTTTCCCTCCCCCCTTCGAATTACTACTACGGTTGTTATGACCAGCAAGTACCAGCGCCTGGGAATTAGCAAAGGACGTCGTCGAAGATGACGACGATGATTGTTGTTGCAGCGCGGCCATCTGCGCACCCACCGACTCTGCGGTCTCGAGGGAGATCCCAAGCGTGATTTCCCCATCCCCTGTTTGCGGAATCGTCTCGTCGGCGTCCATGTCTACCTCTGTTGTTTCACCCGGACCAGACGGTGAAGAAGACGAGGCACTAAGGCCCGAGATCTTAAATACGGCGCTTTCCTTGCCAGGACCGATGCCGCCGAGGAATTTAAAGGATAGGCTCGCAGTCGCCGTGAGAGGCGAGAGGGAGATATATACGGCTGCTGCAGTGTCTGGGGGAAGTGTTATTCCGGGGAGGAGGAAGACGACTGTGTACTGGTTAGCCTTGTATCCATCCATCTGCATTGCTGAAAGCTAGGAATAGAAGGATGGAATGATCTCGTACGTGGGAACGTGAGAGGCAGGCAGAAGGATAGACAGACAGACGTACCTATGTGGCTAAAGGGTTTCGTGGTCGGCAGTGTGAAGACGAAGGAGGTCGCGGAGGGCACGGCGCTGGGCATCGTAATGCATGGTGCGCCGGTAGGTATTACGCCGAAGAGTTGGGGGAGGGGGTCTGCCATTTGAATTTACGTCGATAGAGGAACTTCGAATGTGTGAAAGCCGATGTTTGGGAATTGGTGCTGGCGTTTCTTGGTGAGGAGTGATCGCAGGCGCAAACAGGGCCGGGGAGAATCAGACAATTGGTTCACGAGGTCAGAGAGCTCGTCGGTCGTTGAATTGGTATGTAGTAGATGTAGGAGACATAAGGCAGCGGGCGTTTTCTCGACAGTAGGTTGGAAAGTAGTTGTAAATGGTGGCGGGAGTAAAGTCTGGTGAGTGTGGTGTTTTCTGCAAAGGTATGCTGATGAGATAAAGTAGACGGTGCACCAAAAGGAATTCCTGACGTGGGGTTGCACACAGCTCTGGTGGGGCGGGCTTGGCAGAACAAGACAGTTCCTGAATCTGCGAGATACTTCTACAGAGTCCGTACCTACAGTAGATTCATTCCGATCCGAATGCAAGCAACGGCACTTTTCGTCAAGCTCGGTCCACAGAATAGAGACTTTATTTCAAGATGACAAAGTCAAATGTGGATCTCATCAATGAGTGTGATGTGTAAGTCCAATTCTCTCATATCAGTTTCCCTGAGAAGAAATGGCGGGGTAGCTTCTCAAAGGAGAGCATAGTTATGGAGTCCAAGGCTTCAAACCGCCGTTGAAATACTCACTCCATAGAGCCCCCTCCCCCAGCTACCCTTATTTCATCTCTATTGCGTTCATCTCTTCAACCTCTTGACATCCAATATCTCTCATCTCATACCCACTGGACCTAACACACCCAGCTTCCCTTACCCCTCTTCCCCCTCCCACGCCTCCCTCCACGCGACACTCTACACGCTCCTCTCCGCCTCGAGAACCCCCATAGGCTTCATCACCGAGCCTGTCTTCAATGCCCTCGCCAAGGTCCCCATAGCCATAAAAGGCGAACTCGAAGTCTCGCGCACTCGGCGTACCATCCTCGCATTTACCCAGGCCAGCGAAGCCCAACGATCCGCCGCAATCGCAGCAACCTGCTCACACTGGCGCACTCACAAGACCTTTGCCGTCCTGGAAGGTTGGCGCGACGAGCTCTACCCCGTCTACGATCCCGGTAACGAACTGCTGTTCAGCGTCGAGCGCAGCGCGAGCTGTCTGTTCGGCGTCGTGACGTACGGTGTGCACATGACGGCCTACACCCGGGACATGGATGCGAGTTTCGGGATCAAGATTTGGGTGCCGAGACGGGCGAGCACGAAACAGACGTATCCGGGCATGCTGGATAATACCGTGGCGGGCGGGATGGCGACGGGCGAGCAGCCGCTGGAGTGTGTGGTGAGGGAGGCGCAGGAGGAGGCCTCTCTGCCGGAGGGGCTGGTGAGGGAGAATGTCAAGGCGCAAGGCACAGTTACGTACTGCTATGTTAGGGACGAAAGGGCGGGCGGGGAGACGGGCCTGGTACAGCCGGAGTGTCAGTATGTTTTTGACTTGGAGCTGCCCAAGGAGACGCTGTGCAAGCCGAATGATGATGAGGTGGAGGGGTTCGGGTTGTGGAGCGTAGAGGAGGTGCAGGTCGCGCTGGGAAGGGGGGAGTTCAAGCCGAATTGCGCGGTTGTTATGCTTGACTTCTTCGTGCGGTGGGGGGTCCTGACAAAGGAGAACGAGAAGGACTACGAGGAGATTGTGAGGAGGTTGCATAGGAAGCTCGAGTTTCCCGGGCCACATAGTGGGGAGTAGCTCTGGGTTAGCAGGAAGAGATGGGTGGATTGGATACTAGGGGTCTTGGGCATGGATAGAATATTGCATCATTTGGGAGTTTGAGAGCGTCTTAGAGTATGCTTTTTGCATTAGAGATCTACCGCAACGTCCGAGGTATCTCTCTGCCGATGCCCAACAACGCCAGGAGCATGAAATGCTTTTGGTATTCCGAACGCCGTCTGGTAAATCCAACCAGTTCTATACTTGAAAGGAAATGCAGAGATGTTGAGAAAATCTAGGCTTATGCAGGGGCCTAACCATCCTGGAGGCTCGACATCAGGTTCTTGTGGTTGCAAGACCACCCAAAGCTGCGCAAGAGATATGGCATGTGTTCCTGAACTAGTCGTCAAATATTGTCGAGAAGGTCGTATAATCGAAGGCAGGACTGGTCTATTTCTTGACCAACAGGTAAACGTAGTCCACTCTCAACGACGTGAGCTTCTTGTACGGGCCCTCAAGCGCCATCAACAGTCCCCCAAACGAGATATACGCCTTACTATACCACCATTAGCACCATTCCCCACCACCATAAGCAATCAATACACGCGCGCCGATCCCAACTCACATCGTGGCTCCATCTTCCGCATCCTCAAACTTGTACACCTTCCCATGGCACACATAATCGAACATGTCCGCCAGCGTCGGCTCGCCGCCAGGGCCGTGCTGACTCACGTCGCGCCAGCCCTTGCCACCGTCTTTGCTGCCGTCCAGGGCGAGCGTGGTGGCGATGACGACCTGCAGGTTATCGTCGATGGCGCAGGGGTACAGCTCCGTGTTGATGTCGAGCGTCATGAAGGTGTCGTCGTCGTGCGACTTGCCGCCGATGCGCGCCACGCGGTCATACTTGGACTGGTCGAAGGTCTGGATGTGGAAGGTGTCCTCGAAGAGCTGAGAGTCGGTTGCTGCCATGGTAGGTGTGGTTTGGTGGTTTGGGGCGAGGGTGGTGTGTGGATGTGTGGAGTGAGGACCTCAGAGAGCTTTGGTTTGGTTTGCAGTTCCAGATGTCGCGAAGCGTTGTCAAGAGTGAGCGTTGCAGGCGCGTACTGTTTGGAGATTCTTGTGAAGTGAAATTGGGGTGCGCGATGTCTGGGGAGGCGTAAAGAGCGTGTGGTGAGGTGGGAGGTGGAGGGGCAATGAACGAGGCTCAAAATATTTTTTGGTCGCTTGAACTGCGGCTCGTTAAGTAGCGCCATGGAGGCAGCATTCTATTTTTTTTCGTAGCTGTAGTTGGCCCAACTTTCAACCGAGCTATGTAGCTACCTCCTCTGTTGTATACACATCTCTACGTTGCCATCATTGAAATTCAAAACTTCGCTGACAATTCGAGGTCAGCAACGCGCCAGCAGATATCTTGACTTGGTTCGGTCTGGAAATACATATTCCCGGAGCCTGTAAATAAATTAGCCGACCAGTGTTCCTATCCCTCGAGGAGATCAGATTTCAGAAATGGCATTCAGAAAGCGCAGTGTTGTTCCTCAATCCGGAGGTACCGCCTCTAGTCCTGCGGTCTCAGCAAAGCCAGCCCTCGCCCAAGGTGTAAGGCCATCACCCTTAGACGGACGCCTGACGACCTCAACTGGGACGCACTCACTGGACTCTCTTCTTGCTGGACATTCTGGGCTGGCTCTAGGAACTTCTCTCTTGGTCGAAGAAAATGGCACGACGGATTTTGCAGGTGCGTTGGTAAGGTACTATGCTGCCGAGGGGATTGTCCAGGGGCATCATGTGCATGTGCTAGGCGTGCACGAGGCTTGGGGAAGGGAATTACCTGGAATCAGTGCTGCTGGAGAGGGTTCTTCGGGGAGAGCTGAGCAGAGAGCTGATGAGAAGATGAAGATTGCGTGGCGGTATGAACGGTTGGGAGAATTTGGATCTGGAGCAAGAGGTGGGTCTCGAGGCACTCAGAATGAAAATGGGACTAAATCCGTGGCAAACAGATAGAAATCCGGCACAGCAGAGAGGAGGCTCGGATCCTTTGAGCACTTCTGTATTCTGCCATGATTTTGATTTGAGCAGGCGGCTAGTTCTACCTTCTCCTTCTAATATGAAGCTCGTGCCTATATCTACGCGGCCAAATTCCGACTTCCAGGACCAAATTTCCCCTGTGTCTCCCTTCACGGGATACTTGAACCATCTCACTTCCCAAATTTCAGCTACTCCACCCAACGCCATCCACCGAATTGTCATCCCAAACCTTCTCTCTCCAGCAATATACCCCTCAGAAGCAGCACGACCCGAATACATCCTGCAATTCCTCCACGCCCTCCGCGCCCTGCTCCGCAAACATCCAGCCCAATTCACAGCCTTCATAACTCTTCCGCTAAACCTCTACCCGCGGGCCACAGGCCTCACTCGGTGGATGGAGCTCCTCAGCGATGGGGTCCTCGAACTCGCACCCTTTCCATCAACGGCAATCGCCACCAAGTCGAACCCGACATCGACGCTCCAAGAGGATCCCCCACAAGGCATGTTGAAGATCCACCGATTACCGATCTTCCATGAGAAGGGGGGCGGAGGGGGAGAGGCGAGCGGGTTCGGTGACGACTTGGCGTTTACGTTGAGTAGGCGGAAGGGACTGGTCATCAAGCCGTTCAGCTTGCCACCGGTGGAGGGGGATGCGGAGGGACAGCAAGGGAGCAATGAGCATGAGAAAGGGAAGGCGACGAAGGTGGATATTGAGTTTTAAAAAAAGACTGGGAGTTGGGAGGCGTTGTGGGATGGTTGGGAAAAGTGCTGGTGGTCCGCTCTGGGTTATGGGCATCGGATTGATGAATGGATGCAGTACCTTGTATCGTCCACTGTTGATTTCAAATGCAGGCTTCCATTTATCGGTCACCTTCGACGTTCAGATTCCTCGGAGGTGCGCGGACTCTCTCCAAGCATGTCGTCCATCTCAATCTGATTCCACGTGCCCTGACCACTTGAAGTGACAGTCCTAAGATAGTTCCGGTCGAACAATGCCTGACGAGGATTGATAGATATGTTGGATACCCGGAGCCGGAAAGAATCCCCAACACACGAGGAGACGATCAACCATGCTGCTCATTCTGTCAGAGAAGTGCCCGCTAGGAAAGGAGAAAAGGGGGTGGTGGATGGTGGGATGACAGGTCACATGCCTACGAAAAGCATTAAAACCACTACAATGAATATTGCGAGAGGCCAGAGTGAAGCCATTTCGAAAATTTCTAGTACTGCAGGATATTTTGACTTTCAATGTTTTCTAACATCAGACGCGTGTGGATGAATACCGGTACAATAATCCTGATGTCAAGGCGTTAGTCAGCAGGAGCTACTTATCCGAAAACAGGAAGGCTCTTTTCCTTGGCGTGAGCACACCACGCTAAGAAATTTCGTACATAAAAGCTGCTCCAAGTCGAACGCTGGTCCATCTTCCCTTAACATACTTTCATCAACCACACTGCAAGCACAGGGTAAGCATTCTACTCATTCCAAATTTCTTCCTCTGCTTCAATATGATTACAAAACAGATCTGTCAATCCCCTGACACCAGTTAAGCTGGACATGATGTCTAAAATATATGTTTTAATTTATGATTCGTCGCAAGCATACCTCTCTCCAATGTCGATCAATTCACTGCTGGTAGAACCACAAGCTGACTCGGCCTTCCATATAGATACCCGTCCCTGCTTCTTGGAACCAGCTGTCACAATGGCGCCCGTCTTTGATTCGGTCTCGGAGCCCATACCTATCTCCTTGATATCAGGCCGCTACATGTTATTCGATGTCAATGTCGTGACTTACCTTCGCAGGACTCACCATATCTGCGGTACTCTCATGGGGACGCTGCCACAGAGCCCACAGCAGAACCTGTTCTTCGGCATGCCTATGGAGTTGATGCCCGAGGAAGCCAAGCTGCTCGTTGAGAAAGGGGTCGCATACATCCTTGACGATAAACAGTGGCACAAAACTAGGCTCTTGAACACGCTGCAGGGTGCGGACAAACAGGCATACCTCAAGTCCCTCCGAACAATTGTCGTCCAGGCGCGCAAGGTCTGCCTGGAGGAGTCGCAGAGGAAAACAAAATATGCGCTGGCAATGAAAGCTGCGAGAGAGATTCCAGAGAATGCTAATGATTTGTTGGGCACCTCCCGCGAGTCCCACGCTTCTGATCCCGATCCTTCGCTCAGTTATCCACCGAGCACTGCAGACTCCGCCGATGTGTCCCTCTTCGAGCCCAAGTCCAACGCTTCTAGCAGGGTTAATAACAGACTCGTGTCTACAGGTCCAGTGGCAGCCACCCTAACCATAAGCTACCATCCTTCCTCACTGCCCCAGAACCCTGGCTCGTCACCCGACCCATCAGTCTCGTCTTCTTACGCATTATTTGCACACTTGCATGCCCGCGGCTACTACCTGATGCCCGGGCTGCGCTTCGGGTGTAATTACAATGTGTACCCTGGTGACCCCCTGCGTTTCCACAGTCATTTCCTTGCTACGAGCTATGATTTTGATCAAGACATTCCTCTGTTTGATATCATCGGTGGAGGGAGACTAGGCACGGCTGTCAAGAAGGGCTTCTTGATTGGCGGGGTAGACCCGGGTATGAAGGAGAGCAAAAGTGGTGAGAATGTGAGGACTTTCTGCATAGAGTGGGCCGGTATGTGAGGTGGCGGGTGGCCTAATCAGAGTCCCGAAATGTTGTTTTACGAAATATACCCAGCTTTTAAATTCACTGCCGTTGCTTCTTTGCGTTATGTTTGCCAGTTCCTACTCGTAAAAATTTGTCACTGATCAGCGCATTGAACATTTCCGCGTATAGAAAACCATGGCAGCTGGAAAGTGTTGCGCCGATCCGCCGGCTGACAGAATCATCTACATAAGTAATAGCCAGTGTTTCGCTATTACTTTTGTAGGTAGATAAAAATCTCTCTCTCTCTCTCTCACCGCTGAGCAGAGACAGGCTGGATTTCTTCACCAAGTGATGATATTGGCGGATAGTCGAGCCACATTTGTCAATATCAAGACCCAACTTCAACCGACGACTCGACGTTGAACAAAGAGCCATAGCTAAATATGTGTATATGCATACCCTTGCACCTCAACCCTGGTCTCTACCGTTTTTCAGAACGTAATCGCTAACAGACCAGCAAGCAGCTTAACATGTATAAGCCTCAGCGACCGCATCACCATCAAAATTAGAGAACAGCAAGTCTGCACAAAGAGTTCGAATCAATGCTACCAAAATAGCAGCCAAGTGATCAGCTACGGCAAAGAAAGCAAAGGTGCTATCGCGGTGGTGAAGACTCTTGACGTTGATCTTCAAGCGGATGAAGGCCAACCAAAGCGCCGGCTGGGTCTGCGATCTGGCTCTGCAATAGCGAGGTCAGTTCCTACCTCCCCCTCATTATTTATCTCTTCTTAAAGTCTAGATAGCTAACTGGCTTCGGGTAGGTAGTCCAGCCCCCGAAAGCCCTCCCTACGACACGCACGCAAACGTTGTCCTTTCCCAGCTCGATGATCGTAAACAAACAAGAAAGGCAGAACGAACTGCCAGCCAGCCTATCCAAGTAGCGGGCGGCCCTTTTCGTTCTCCAAGTCTCCTTCAAGCTCCAGAACCTCTTGCATAAATTCCACACACGCGCGCAGCGGAAATCCCGCTCTCTGGACTTTATTTGTTTTTGCCTCTTTTATGAGGGTGTGATTTTGATGTGTGCATGACATGATACATTTGCATATGTATGTAGGTGGGCGGCAGCCTTCTCTCCTGTCCTCCACCTTCTAGTCCGTGATTCCCTCCCTCCCGAGCCGGGTCGCAACCTCTCTCTGCGCACACGAACTTCTATACGCTTCTTTATGAGATCGAAGAAGAACACACGCCCGCCGAGGCCGTTCCATCAAGTGGTCATCACCTCGCTGGCGTATCAGCGGCGAGGCTCCCAACTCATCGACTAAGTGCTTGCTAAAAGGCGTTGGAAACCACTCGTTGAAAACAGCGACAAGAAAAACCCAAAGAGTGTGAAGTCTTTTTTTATTTTTTTAAAAAAAAAAAAACCACCAGCAAAACAGCAAAACATCTCCAGAAGCCCGTACACCGACCGATCCGAGGTTCTAGATATCAAGCCTAACTGGATAGGTTGCAGGCTTAGCTATAGGACGAGGAGTACAATACTGACAGCTGTGATGCACAGTTAGTTGCTTTGATAAGGCAGCCGAACAACGTGTTAGCAGAGTCGAAGAGGATTGAAATGGCCTACATGTAACCACTGGCTGAAGTTCCAAATTCCTGGCGAGGCGTGTGTAGCGTGTATAGTCATGATACATTATACAAGACAAGATTAAACGTTGCAGAAAGTTCCCTGGGTATATCCTCAGTACCCTGATCCATACCAACGCCTAACGATCCTCAGCGATCGACCCCCCCGGACTCTCCTGCCTTGGATGATCCCCAGCTGACGCACCGCTAATCCCAAACTGCACACTCTGCCGCCTGCCACAAGACGGCGGCATCGACATACTTGTCAGACTACTCAACCGCATCGGGCTCGGGCTCGAATCCCTCGCCAGCAATCCCGGCGGCAGGCCCAGCGTCGGAATATTCGCATCCAATACGCTCTGCATAAATGGGCTCTTCGGATATGCAGGAGGCGTCGCGCTGGGCGGCGTCGCCTTCTCGAGAACCTCTTTATAAAAAGCCTCCAACGCAGCCGTATTGTGACAGAACGCCTCGAGCTCGTACCTGATTGAATCCGGCGTCGCAGGATTGGCGAGCTTGGAACCGGGTGGGCCGGGTCCCAGCACGTCAGAAGTAGCTCGCAGGAGGGGAGAGCCCATGGTAGTAGTCGTAGTAAAGGTTGAACGGAGCATAGGAGAATTGACAGGAGTAAGCTTGTCAGACATGTATCCGCCGTGTCCGTGCAGAGAGGAGACCATGCGCGTGCTGTTGTTTTCTGCATGAAGCCCGCTCTTGACATACCGGTCCGGCTCGCGCGACGCCATTGTACGGTTGTTATAAAGGCGGTTGGCGAGGAGGAGGAAGTTTCCATCGTCGGTGATCTGGGCGAGGACGACGCCCGAGCGGTGGATATATTGCGTGTACTTGAAATTGGGCTTGCCCCAAGAGTAGGTGACGTCGACATTGCTGGGGAAGTTCTTTGCGGCTTCAGTGTCGAGGACGAAGTTGAATTTCTTCATAATGGCCTTTTGGTAACATTGTCGGTTTCCTTGACAAGTCTGGACTTGGGGTCCGAATGAGTTCACGTCAAAGTATGTTCTTGGTTGTTGATTTGGAGGCTGAGCGGCAAGCTTGATGATGTATGGGCTTCGGAATGGATGCATAGCTGTTATCGAGCAAACCTCCCCAATTGGTGCCTCGACAAGCCTGAGACCATAACGTTCTGCTGTTGAAGCCCACGAGCCTAGAGCATCCTCGATTAGTTTCGCTGTAACTCCCATCCATTCAATGCGTATGTGGTAACAATTGTCGGGGTTGTGAAGTCTGTCGTAGTGCAAATGTATTATCTCTGGCCGATATGAGCGCTTGCGGTGATCGACATCGTACTTCATCACCTTGCTCAGAGCAACTTTGGGCCTCTTTCCCGTTCCAATGCCGCCCGCAGCGGGAGGCGTTGTCGCCCCCGAATCATTTGACATATCATCGTGATTTGAACCTGATCTGGATCGCTCTGGCCTCGGAGGATCTCTAGGCATGCTTTCGGTAATGGGCGTAGTTGGGATGGATGGATCTCGTCTCTTCGTAGCAAACCATCCTCTGCCGCTCTCAGGACGTTGCTTCGCAAACTCTCCGGTTACCTGGTAGAAGAACTGACCATCTCGGAACGGGTGGCGTTTCTCAACATGGACAAATATTCCCATATCTTTGTCCTTGTCCTTGCCAGTATCCTTGTTTACCTCGCCCTCCCTGATCTTCTGAAGCTCATCGTTTGCCATTAGCAAGTTTCCCAGCTCCACAGCTTCCTCTCTCGTATCGATATCTTCGAAATTCTCCATAAGCCAGGTCGTCATGTCAGAGCCTATAAAGCAGTTGTAATGAAGACGGAAATGCCACCGGCGATTCTGCATCCGAACTCCTCCTCTTTCAACAGGTCTTTGGATAGCTTCAGCTAGCCCGGCTATGTCAAGTTTAGACTTGCGGAATCGCTCGGTCTCAAGCAATTTTCCTCGTCGCAGATTGGGATCACCAGCTTCGACCAGTGGCAAGGTCTCGAGTTCCGCCGTGACGACAACAGAGGGGTCCTCTGTTTTATATACAATGTCGAGGGGGTTTGGACCCTTCAGCTTCTGAGAGCCTACGCTCTGGAATCGCCTTTCCGATGCGGTCAAAACTCTGTGTTTCTGCCACATCAGAGTGATCTTCTTGATCCCCTCGAGGCGAATTTCTTCTTCGTTATCTTCTCCCTGACGCATCTGGGTCTGTGTAGGCCGCTCCGCAGGGATCAGTACAAATCGAGCACGCCAGAATCGTAGATTCTCTGACATCTCCTCTGCGAGGCCAGCAATGAAAGCGTCCACATAGTTCCAATTGTACTCGTCTTTTGGCTTGCCAAGTACGACGAGTCGTGAATCATAATCTCGAGCCAGTGCTGTGCGGATTGCTGGGTTGTAAGCTGAAGGAATCACCGCTCCAGGCCTAGCAGACGTCGCCGCCGTGGGCTTGCGTATAAATGTATTAATCTCGACCTCCGTCTCGTTGACACATGATAATTGATGGATAATGCTTCCCATCGACATGAATACACTTGCACCATCTTCTGCAATGCGCGCGGGCTCGAACACGTTCGCAATTCGCATGGATTTCTGCCCAAATGCTTGAGCAACACCAGGGCCTACGACGATCTGAAACCCGTGGGACAGTCGTAGCCCAATGAGTTCTCGAAGAAGCTCTTCCCTGTCTTTAGAAATTTCATTTAAATCTTCTTCGAGATTTTGAGCAATGTTATATGGTTTCTGTTGGTATTCCGTGTCTAGTTGATGCTTCGTTGGGAAGTATTCCGTAGTCAACGGGACCGATGCAGGAGAGCAAAGAGATTTCCATTTCATCGTTTTTGTAAGCACTGGCCTGGGAAACACGTGTTGCCATCTCGTATAAGGAGTTGGTCCTAAGGAGCTATTTTCCGAAGGATTTGAAGGATTTAGTACAGTCAACCATGGTGACAAGGCTCTTGTAGGCGAGAGGGTGGCTGGCAGTTCAGGAACCGCCCCAGCGAGCAATTTGGAGTTGAAAAGCTTTTGGTTGTCGTCTTGCCTAGCCGACTGCAGGAGTCGATCATCGGTCCGCCGACTCTCTGCTTCATACAAAGATCCCAATACTGATCGAGACTTGAGCTGATTGGTCTGATCCAGGGACTGGAGAGCGCTTTTGATAGTTATGGGACGTGAAGACGAACTTTTATCTGCATCAGCTTTCTCAGGAACTGCTTTTCTCTCGGTAGACAATGATTCTAGGCTCTTCTTCGACCGGTTACTTTGAGAAGAAGGTGGTCTATTGATACCATGTGACGATGCCGTAACAAGGAAACGGTTGGCCATTTCAGCGCTTCCATTCATCATTGACCCAGTGTTTTTTGCTGTCCCGGACACCGGCTTTGCTGCCTTTGCATGCTCAATTTGGATCTCAGCAGTCGCAGCTTTCGGAGCCGCAATACCAAACCCATACTTGCCGAGGCTGATCTGGCGAACAGATCTGACTGGCCTGACCGGAGAAGTACGTGTCGAGGTATTGGTCATGGTGCTCACAACGCTCTCTTTGCGAGGCCTCGTTACGTACTCGGTATGCTTGGACTCGAGGGTACTCTTTCCAGCTGGTGATACAGATAGAAAGCCCGTCCCCTTCAGAGTTCCATGTTCATCGCTAGATGAAGTACCGAATACCTTGGGATCTTCTGCTAGGGGTTTTTTTACTGCTTCCTCGCTACTGGGTTTGAAGTATTTTTTCCCTTCAATATTGTGTCGACCTCCAGAAAAGTCTTCTGAAATCTGTGATCTCATGATGTCAAAGACCTCAAGGGCTCGAAAGAACCTCTCGTTCTCAGAAGGAGAATGCTTGTCTGTGAGTGGCTTCAAAGGACCGTTGATGACCTCCGAAAGACCTCCATATGTCTTCTCCCGTTTGATCTTCGCCGAGAGAGTATCCGGTGCCAATTTCTTCCCCGGGGTCTCTCGAGGTCCTAGGATCATCTGTGGGAATAATGCATCAAGCTGCAGAGGCGTTACCGCGATTTCTGTCATCGCGTTCTCCATGACGCTTGCCATTTCCATCTCATACATCTTACACCGAACCTCAAAATCGGAAGCTCGTTCAACGGGGGAAGTTTTGAAGAGCCTTTTGTGCGGTTTGGCGAGTGGATTTGCGATGTGAATATCTTGCGACGCCCCCGTCCAAAAGGAAACATCAAGCCAATGAGGTATGGCATATGACCATTCACTGGGAGGCTGGAATGAAGCGACCGATCCCGAGCGGGCCTGCCGCTCTTGTTGTATCGCCGTCGATTTTGATGGTGATACGGACTCATTCAAGGAAGAAAAACTGCTCCCAAACATGGACGCATTTTGGCGAGGAGTACTTTCTTCGCTACGAAGAGCCTTGAAGTGTATAGCCTCCTGAAAAGCTGCATACAGAGGGTTCCGGTACCTGAATAGCGGAACTGAATGTAGGGGCATTTTTGGAAGGCATACAAGATCGATGCCGATACCGTTTCCAATGAGATTCTCGGTTGTCAGTCTCAAAGTTTCGTAGTCGACTTCAAATAGGCCAGGACACGGAGTGATAACAACAATGGAAATGCCTGTTCTCATGAGATCTCTATCAATGTAGTCGTGGGAAAATTGCCGAGATGCCAGATTGATTGCCTCAAGAACATTTCCGTGCATCGCCAAGGATGGGTTGGCTTCAATACGGGTGCCGAGAACACCTCCCGTATTGGTTTCTCCAGATGCTTCTAAAGCATTTACAATATTGATGCGATGCATAGAGATATCTTTGCGGAAAAATTTGAACTCTCGCTTCAACTGATATAAAATGGTGGTCCAAGAACCGCTTGCCATCTCACTGACAACGACTCTGTAAAAGTCTTTGTAAGGTTTCTTGTTGGCGTCGATTTGAACACCTGTATGATAGGAGCTATCATGCGCACTTGTAGCCAGTTCGGAAGCTATCCCCGTATCGTATTCCATTCTCGTGAAAAGTACAATGCTGACAAGATGCTTCGCCTTCAATGATGCCCATTTCTTGAAAAGTGCAGGAAGGAAGCCATTGACGACTTTGTTAAACATAATCTCGCCTGACCCTTCCGAGTCGAAATCCCACATCTCCTTTGACATTTGAATGAACAGAACGTAGCGAGCAGATTCGCTTCGAAATATGGGTTTGGAAGTTGTGGAGAAAAAAGCAGACTGGACTTTGCGACCATCCACATAGACAGCAGTCACTTGAGCTTTTATCGTGCCCATGAACAGGATTTTCTGGCTCTTAAAGACGGTTTTGTTGCTTAGTTCGGCAACCGTCAGCCGCCACATATCAGACCGGGCCAGGTATTCGTCCTTGAAAGACAACTCAACATGAGATGCAGAGTTCTCGTCCTGATCGGTCTAAGGGTTGTCAGCAAGAAATTATATCTGAATATGAAGCTCATATACCGTAGTCAATATAACATTGGACCGGTGCTTCAAACCAAACGCATCGGCAATGTATTTGGTTACAGACACTTCAAGTCCTTGATGTTTTGCCTTCATCTCTCTTGAAATATCTTTGGCTATAAACAAATAACGCTTCCATCGATCCACGTCGTGTTTGGCATCTTTGCCGCTGGCCGGACTTCTTGGGTTGGAAGCGCTGCGTTCCCGTTGCATGGGCGCTCCCAATGCAACCGAATCCCTCTTGAATGATTGCGTTTTATCCTGGAAGTCCCGAACTACAGAGTCTGTCTTCAGTGCCATGATTGCCATTAGCTCTCCAGGCTTGACATCGGTAAATAAGTCCAGGTTGAGGACCACCTCCTCTCTCGAGAACCCCTCATCATGGACCCAGAGCGTACATCTCCTTTCCACCGCCGTCTTGACAGTCACGGGAACAGGATCATGCTGGACCGTGCCCGTGTCGGACGTGGCTGTCAGTGGGCGACTCAGGACGGTGGCCTCTGGGCTGCCGTTGCTCACTTCTCGTAGGTGAGAGCTCCGCTGCGTGCCACGCCTGGGGGTGGATGAAGAGGCTGATAACATGGGCGTGGAGTGCCTCTTGGGCCGGAAAATCACATCAAGTCATGACCGAATGGTTAAGGCGAATAATATCGGGGGCAATGGCGAGAACGGGAACGATGGCGACAGTGAGGATATATTGGCTCTTTGAGAGAGTCCTGGAGAGAGAAGAGAATGCGGGTGGAGATGGGAGGTGAGGTACGGTATCGATCGCACGCTAATCTCACCGCCCGGCCCTTATCACCAAAAGTTTCCAGAAAAATAAAAAGTCCCGCAGGCATCACATCACGAGGAAGAGGATCGAGATGAGCTGAGCTGAGCTGAACTGAGCCGAGTTCATTTCAGCAAATAAACTTTGACATTAATATCGACCCTGACTGAAGATTCCAAATGGCCAAACGACCCGCAGAGGAGATCACGAACGGCGAAGAGGCCTATCTCAAGCGTCAAAAGCTCACCATATCTCCAGCTGGACCCCCAATTGAGATTCAATCCGGGAAGCAGCTGCGACAAGTTCTAGCATTCGATCAAAATACTAGTCGCTCAAAGCTAGGTATGCCTGCTGTACTCCTATCATGCTGTCAGCACTCGATGTTGACCCCGGCGTAGCAATACAATCCTTCAAATTTTTCCTAGACGGCTTCGCTACAGCAGAGGGCGAGAATGGCGGACGAATTGCGATTCTTAGAGATTATCTCGAGTTGGAGACGCCCTCGGACGATTCAGACAAAGATCATGTCTTTCTGAACGACCTCATGCAGGCGTGGGGCCTTGCGTGCTATTCGAACGACGAAAACCTCCAGTCTGCCGTTCCCGCAGTCCTCGCGCTGCTAATGAAGACCATGTCCAATATTCTCGACCTTTCGGCCCATGGATTGAGACTGGGGCGATCAGTATTGCGCCAGAAGGTACCAATAGCAAAGGGACTCGAGGCAAGGAAAGGGAAGGATTTTGTGATTTCTCCAGTACTGCGATTACTCAGAGAGATAACAGTTTTCGATGGAGGAGCTCTTGCAAAGTCGGTTTGGTTTGCCAGAGACCATTTCCTGAAGTACCTGGCTCGGAATCTCTCGATCAGATATCTCGGTGCTGGAGTTGAAGATCCACGGAAACCATCTGTACGGACGAACTCGCTTCGCTTCTTGGTGTCGTTGATCAAATTCCTCCCTCTGGACTTGAAAAGGGATCTTCTCAACCAAAGGGATATTATTTCGGCGATGACCAAGGATTTAATTGACGACCCGGCCTATATGGTACGAGATTTTCTGGAAACGGTGAAATCTTCTATACTGCTTGACGAGGGCCTGCCACGAGAAGCCAAGACGAAGATTTTCAGTGCCACGGTGCTAGGACGATTTGCGAAGCTATATCAGTATGACCAAGCCGAGGAAGAGACAAAGCCACCTAAGAAACCTGTGTACCAAGTTGCCCATGAATTATTGCTACTTGCTTGTACATCTCCAAAGCTAGGAGTTCTGATTTCCCAATCAAGCTTGTATCCTCGAGGCATAAACCCTGACGATACCCATGCCCTTGATCTCGAAGAATCTTCCATCGATTTGGGTCTTGACAGCGTTGACTGGATGGACAAGTTCAACGAAAAGGTACCTGTCCGGAATACCATCTTGTCGGAATTTATCCAATCTCTTCGGCCCTGGTCCCATATAAAGCAAAGCGAGCTTTTGACATCTATTCTCAACTCGGCTCCTGAGCTAATCGCAGATTACTACCACGGCAAGAAGGATTTCTCTTTCGACCCAAAACCTACGGCCACATGGATTGGCTACTCTGCTTTCATCTTCACGACGTTACAACTTCCCATACCCGTATACTTTGGCCACCAAGAACGATATGCCAGACTTCCGCCACCCCCCTCGGTTGTCCTAGAAAGCATTCTCCCTCAACCTTTAAGCCAGAAAAATCTGACCAGATGCCTTAACCTACCCAACAATAATCTAATAACTTTCTTCGCCGTCAGAATATTATGCGTTGTATTCGGCAAGCTGCAAGAGGCTCTGAAAATGTATCGCGAAGCAGCTAACGGATCGCCTTCATCATTGTGGGCACAAGCGGCGGAAGCGTTGACCGACGAGTTCTGCCGGAGATGCCCCGCAGTTAAGGACGTGATTTTGGCATTCCGACGATTGAAAGACACGGATCTGATGCAGAAGGAGGCAACGACGAAATTACTTGTTCTTTACTACGAAGTTGTTCCCCGGATCGCACTTGATGCCAAGTTTGGCGTGTCCGCGGCGCTCGCAGGCAATCTAAAGGCAATGGAAGATAACACCTTGGCCCCTGCCGACCGAGTACTTCGAGCGATAGAACTGGAACACCTCTTTCAATTCGCAAACTTCTCACCAGGCATGCGATGGTTCAGCAAAGTAGAAGGGCTCTCGGTCACTCCTTTCATGGCTATGCTAAAGCTTTCTGCGGAGGCTCCTGTAGATCTGCCCATGTTTAAGCTAAGAGCTGTGCTTGCGTCTGTGGTTAAGGAGAACCAGATTTTGCAAACTCAGACAGCAATTTCCGCGCTAGATACATTGGTACTGGGGCTGCGAACTCTTCACGAGCGGAACGCCTCCTCGGTTGTATACAATTTCCTCGACGATTGCATATCTCGTTGTGCAAGCAAACCCATTAAGTATATCTTTGCGTTGGAGGAAATTTCCGCAGCGTCAGACCACGAGCAAGCGCCTGTCAGCTTGCTGTCTTTGGCTATAGTCGAGCAATGGCCTTTTCTTGCCAAGTCAGCAAGTAGGGCTGAACTAGAGGAGGTTGCGGAGCTTGTGGCTAGATATCTTGCAGCATCCATAAAGATTCAAGAGGACAAGGTCGTGCTCAAGCTGTTGGTTAAGAAAATTGCTAAAGCATCACCTGAAGAATCGCAAGTCCGCAAAATCATCGAGCAGTCTCGAAAATTGGTTGACAACGTGGCTGTTGCAGAGAAGAGCACCAAATATATGGAGCTCAAGGCCGACCCTGCCAGCAACGTCTGTGCAGACAAAGAAAAGATGGAGGTGTTGGCAAAAATGGACGACAAATCTGCAAATCCGGCCGAAGACCACAAGGCGCTGACCAAGTGGACGACCAAAGAGATAGATGAGGTGGTCGATGGAGGACACTCAGCAGCGCTGATCATGCTCCTATCATCAGAGCACCTGAGCGTGCGGAAGGAAGCCCTGACAAACATTTCTAAAGTTGCCGCGAAGCTGGACGAGTCAACGCTAGACGAGAAAAAACAACTCTGGCTACTGCTGAACGAAGTGGTGGAGACAGCGAAGAAGATTATCGACCAGGAGCCTATGCCAACCGCCATATCAGCATTCGCATCGCATTCGATAGCCGTTCTCAACGATCCCTTGCACATAATGTACGGAAAGGTGAATCTGTTCCTGTCACAGGGCCCGACGTGGGATCTTGATAAGCTGCCGCTGATGCACAAGATTCTCGATCATGCGCCAAAAGTAGATGATGCGCATTCTGAGGAAACAGCCTGGTTCTTGAATTACATTCTTGCTGGACTCCAGACTAGCGCAGATATGGGACTGTATCGAAAGAGGCAGGTTTTTGAAAAGCTCTTGTCGTTATACAGCAGTAGTTATCTCGGCGCAGGTCTGCGCGACAAGATCCTCCGGATCTTTTTCCGGGCCACGAGAATTGAAGGAGGAAGTTCGACGCTCGTAACCAGGTTTAGTGCGATGACTTGGCTGGAAGCGCAGGTTTCGCTCGGAGGCGGAATGCCGTTGAAGGTGTTGATCGATAAGATATTGGAGTCCTGTGACCAGAAGCGAGTGAAGAAATGGAGTAAAGGCGCAAAGAAAGGAAAGGCACAAGTACAAAGGTTTTAATCAAGGTTCAATGTAGATATACGGAGAGATAAATACCCAGCTGCGACGAGCAAAGCAGCTGTACAAGCGTAAGTTGGGAGTTGGCATTGACACTTATTACAATCGAACAAAGTGCAGGGGTCAAGCCTGAGGACAATAGTAAGTCCGTAGTGAATACCGGTAGGTAAGGTAGTTTGGTCTCTGGCGCCTAATTAGCCGCGCAGGCAAGGGTTGGGGCTTAACATCTACCTAACAGCACCAAAACCACATGCACCACTTAAAATCACGACTCCATCGATCTTCCAACAATCACATCCGCGCCGCGCCGACTCGAGAACTCACTCAAATCTTCAAGCCTCCTATCCAGCAATAGCACCTTTAATGACTAAAAACCCCCATCACCTCCCGTACCTGCTACCACCAGATACCCACCCGATCTTAAATTACCTATCTTACCTGCCTTACATCTGAAGTTCGCGCCGCACTGCACACACGACCTGGTTCACCCTGTCTCGAGGGCAGGCCTCACGATACTACGAATTGCTACAAATCTTCTGGCGACGTCGCCCTGAGGCCTTCCGGCAACTCACCTTTCAAAAGGGAAAGGGAAAAGGGTCTCCCCTCCTACTATCCTGGTCTACTTATTCCACCATACTTTATCTTACCACCGTCCGATTTCATCTCCGCCACGTCACCCTGAGCCTTTTGATTAAAGCCTACCTCTACCTACCGACACCCACGCGACGAGCTGTAATTCGACCCAATCCATGAGACTTCCATACACTACAACCCCCCCGATTAGCTGTCCCCAGCAGCCGCCATGGCGACCAGATACACGCCCGATGAGTTGATGTTCCTGCGCGACTCTCCTCTAGTCTCGAGGCCCGCGAGCCTTCCGCCATCAGATCAATGGATGGGGTGAGCTGCTCCTCTCGCTCATGTCGTCCGGGGCTCCTACTGACTTGGTGCAGGCCAACCGCGGACGTTACTCGTAAATCGACCAAGCTAGCAAGTGACAGAGAAAAAACCCATGATTCTAACCTTTTTCTAGATCAGCCGAGACGCCCTGCTGCAGAGCGCCACGTCCCACGTAACTCTGCCAGTATGCAATGCGGTTGTGCACCGTAGGAGAAAGCTGCTAACATTGTATAGACCCCGAAGATATTATTCTTGGGCCGCCCAAGACTGCCTTCATGTCTGCTGGCTCAATGCGAAATGCGAGCAAACCCTCAGACCTACCGGAACGACCTTCTATTCGAGATGCAGACTCTAATGACCGATACAATCTTCGAAATAAGGGCAGAGAAGGCGAGGGAGAGCGAACTAGGGGGGAGAGAAACAGCAATTTACGATTGAAGCGTATTGAAGGCGATCGCGACCAGGACGGTGAAGGCTGGAGCACAGTCAAGCCGAGAAAGAGTTTTGGCACTGAGGGTGCTGAGAGATTCAATGGACGAATGGGAGGGGTGGACAGACACAGAGAGGATAGGAAATACAGGGACCGGGAAGATCGTGAGGTCAAGGAAAAGCCACGAGGTTTCGATACATTCTCGCGAGATATTGAGCATGATCAGGAGAGAGAGACCCGCCGAAGTGGGACTGGTCGTGGTCGAAACGAATCCTGGTTTAAGGACAAGGAGCCTGCCGATGCACCAACCACGCCGAGGGATCGTAATAGCAATGGGGACCGGTTCATTGACAGAAATCGTGGATGGAGAGAAAAGGAAAATGGTGATAGCAGAGGCGGCGATCGTGTCGAGAGAAATGAGAAAGGGAATAAGGGAGATAGAGGAGAGCGCCGCTGGGGGGATCAACCACAGGAAAACACTCCCGAGTGGTCTTTGGATGTGCCTGTTGAAGAAAAGCCCAAAACCAACCAGACCAAGACTGCAGAGGACTTTCAGAAGTGGAAGGAACAGATGCAAGGAAAAGACAAGGTTGCTGTGACCACTCTGGAGGAAACCAAGCCCGATGAGCCGCCGTCTCTTATTCCAGAGAAGTCGAGGGTTGAAACTCCGTTGGAAATGAACAATGGACCTGATAAATTCTTTGGCTCATGGATTGGTGGTAAAGAAGGAACCACCCCGGAAGAGCCTAAGATGGAGGCCACTCCGAAGGCCAAGACTATGGGGAAAGCTTCTCGATTCACCTCGTTCTTTACTCCTCAGGAGGAGCCACAGCGGCGAGTGACAGAGCCAGTCGCACCCCCGTCCTCGGCGCCCATGCAGAGTGGACTTGCGGCATTCTTCGGTGGCGGTCTTGGTGGAGGGCAGCCCAGTTCAAGTGACAACAATTCCCAGTCTGCAGCAGCAGAAAAAGAAGCATTCCAAAGCTTGCTTCAAAAGCTTCAGCACCAAACATTGAGTAGTTCTGGGTCTACTCCGCCTCTTGATGCTTCGAGACAACCAAAACCTACGCCACCGGAGAAGCAGCGGAGCAACCCAGTTCCTGGGCCAGAGATTTACCAGCAGTATCGCGCCGAACGTCCAGAAGAGGCTCGCCCAAGCGCCCGCAACCCTCAACAGTCTATCCCACAAGAGATATTGAATCAGCGCCAAATCACTGGAAGCCAGCCGATCATCCGACCAGAACAGATGTTGCAGGAACTTGTGGGTCAGCGCCACAGTGCCACGAGCCAACCTTCGAGACCCGACTTACCCCCATCTCGCAACAACAATGCCGATTTTCTCATGGGTCTCATGCAGAGTGCCAGAGCAGCACCTGATCCTCGGCCAACGGAGCAGACGCTTTTGAGAATGGCACCTAGGACTGTCGACCGCATGATGCAGCAGCAAGTTATCGAGCGCGAGCAGGAACTGCAACGAGAAGCAGCTCAGCGTGAACGAGCCTCGCAACGCCAAGTCCGACCTCCGCCTCCTCCTGGATTTATGTCTTTTGACGAGGCCACTGTTTACCGAGGTCTCCCGCATCATGAACGACAGCCAGGTAACCCACCTCAGCCAACTCAGATTCTGCAGCGCCCCCCGCCTCCGGGACTCGATATGGGCTGGGACCGCCAACCTCAACTTCCACCTCAACATCGCATTGCCCAGAACATTGCTCCTCCCCCGGGACTCGCCAACGGCCCAAGCAACGGACCCAACAGAGGAATGCCCCTGCCCCAGAATATGTACCCACCGGGCTTCCCCATGGGCGCCTTCCCCCCTCCCGACGTCATGGCCGGTCCTCCTCGTAACATGCAGATGCAGCCCCCGCCAGGCTTCTTCAACCAGCCTCCACCAGGCTTCATGCCACCCGGCATGAGCGGCTTCCAAGGACCCGAAGGCATGTCGTTTGGCTCGCCATTCGACGGCCGCGGACCTCCCCACCAGGGTGCCTTCAGACGACAGTAGGAAGATGCTGGATACCATAGTGTGATGGGTTTGTGTAATGATATGTTATTGGAGACTGAAACTTCATCTCACCCTTGGGTTTAATGCATGCCTAGGTAGCTAGCAAGAGCGATACAGCAATGGAATTGTGCTTGTATCCAAGCGATGGGTACTGGCTTCTGCAATCCTCCCCTTTCCGTTCCGCTTGCGCACTAGTTATCAAGTGAGTGATAGGTGGTAGATCATTAGGTGATGCAATTTTCCCTAGTTCCCTACTTCCTTCTGGCAGTACGCTAAACTTTGCCCACTGATCAACGTCGCCGGCGCGTGTGGGCTTTGCGCTCTTGGCCCCTTACGAGGAATGATGATAGACGACGAATCGAAGTTCTCTGGTCTTGCGCCATGGTGAAAAGGCGTTCATGTTAGCTTTGTGTTATTGCGTGCAGATCATTTCGGTGGCTGATTCCAGCTGGGTTGGTATGTTACGAGGACACTTTATGTTCTTCACGGGGTATATATGGATATATATGGATATATAAATCTATTGCGCCGGGAATGCATTTTGTATTGCAGGGCCTACAGGTGCTGAATGAGGTACTTGGCTGGTTGAGGATTTGAGAGTTTGGGGTGGCTATTTGTTAGATGGGGGGTTTGATATGCTGCTGCTCTTTGAAGGGGGTGGGGTTGGTCCGTTTTGTTTTGTTTGGTATGAGTGAGAAAGGGGGGGAAAGGGGTTTATATGTAAAAATGAACTGCATGGATGAATGACTTCGGGGGCACATGATTGATAAAGAACAGACTACGAGAAGGACTGGCTCATGATACATTTCTGGGTGTATTTGATAGAAGCATGGACAGGTTAGATGGACGCGTGGAGAGAGATGAAGACGGTATGGCCTGAGCTTTGCAAACGATCGACCGGGGAGGTCACTACGGGATCATTTATTACCTACACATCTATCCTTCTGGAAAGAAATCACAAGCTGGAGAGAGAAAGATCGTCAAATCACGCACATCAAAGCCGTTTCCCGCGTGAATATTGACTTTGGGCTCAGTGGGAGATGGCTGGTTTTCTTTATTGAGAAGCTGAGGCTCGTCCTGTTATGTTCGCGTCATTAGTATAAGCTTATGCTACGTAGATGAAGAGGAGAAAGGATAAGGCCCGTCCCTCTGGAAAAGCGCACATCGCATCGCATCGCATCGCATCGCATCACTAGAGAGAGGTGCCCGCCGCCTTCGGAAGACAGATGGGGAGAGCTGGCTGGCTAGGCCCAACTGGGGCGTACAGTCAGTAAAACATGTCGGGACTGTAGTGTAATATTCATTCATTCATTCATTCGTGTACATCCACGACGACAGAAGCGCGGATACATGTGAGAAGAACCTCTCCCCCCGCAGCATGCATGCGGCGTCTGATTTCCGCTGCGATCGGAAACTAGAAGCGTGCGTGCGGTGTCTGGCCTGCTATTTTTCCTTCCTTCCTTCCTTCCTCCCTTCCTTCCTCCTCTCTCATACCTGCCCGGGTTTTCTCTTCGCGCCAGAGACCGCCCGTCTGGCTCGCTCACAGCCTGCGGAACGATTTCAAAGCCTTTCTCATGCCGTCTTCGATCTGGGCGCCTGTGGGCATGGAGGCGACTTCGGGGGTATCGTCGGAGGGGATCAAGAAGATGTACCGCACCATGGCTGAGCCCATGGCCCCCGTAATGTGGGTGATACCGTTCGCCGTCGCACCCAGCCTGACAGTTTCGCATCCGAGCAGAACGCCCCAGCTGGGGAAGGGGGTGTGCCCCCACTCCGACTCTGGCGGTATCGAGCCCGCTTTCATCGAAAATTCGAGGGAAGAGCCCGGGTCTCGTGCCAGCCAGAGAGTGGCCTGTCCAAGCAGTTGGCCTGCAGGATCAAAACCGTCATGCAGGATCGAGTAGAGGTTGGCCATCGGTGTACCGTGGAAGAGAAGCCTTGTTTGATCCCTTCCGGGGAGTTTGTTGTAGGCGCTCTGTAGGGATCGATCGGGCTTTGCTACGACGAACTGTAGCACTTGTTCGGGGAAGCCAGGAATCACGAGGTCGCCGTCAGCCGGGATTATCATGTCGCCGCAAGTCTTGAGGATCGAGGACAGCACGGCAGAAGTCTTCGAAGACACCAGAGCCTTCTCGACGTCCTTTTCCGTCTTGATCTTGGGGATCTCATCCAGGCGCTTGCGGAACCTCGCTGCTGACAACTCGGGAGCCCCGGTCATGGGGATCTTGGCTTTGATTCGAACGGAATGTGAGTAGATCATGGTGAGTAACAGATTCACAACCTCGGGTGCGGGATGCTCAAGAGAATCTACCTCGTCCTCGGACTCGACGGCTTTCTCCTTTCCTTTCTTCTTCGGTACAGGCTTCGCCTTGACAGCTTTGTCGGGAGCTGGGTCTGTCTTCTTGGCGGCTTTTACCTTCCCCTTGTCTTTGGCTCCGGTCTTGACGGTCGTCTCCTCTGGTTCGCTATGGGATTCGGATTTGCTTTCGTCGTCGTGGTTGTCGTTGTTGTTGTCGTTGTCGTCGTTGTCGTCGTTATCGTCGTTGTCGTCGTTATCGTCGTTGTCGTGGTTGTCGTCATCGTCATCGTCGTCATTATTTCCCAAAAGCTTTGCATGCCTGTCATACCATCAGCTGGAAAGCAGTTATCGATCAGCAATAGAGAAACCCACTCGTCCATGATCAAATCCTCAACAAGATCCCATCGGGTGTTTTCGTCATGGAGGCCACGCTCTCTGGCCTCCCCGGTCAAAGTCTCCACTGAGGCGGCACACCAGCCCGTAGCAGCTTCCAGGAGATGTTTATCTGGTTCTTCCTCGGCCAAGAGAAGCCGCAGCGCATATAGTGCGTACAGTGCGTGGAGTTCTGCTCCGCCGGCATTGCCCGACATCCGAATCTTCCCTCTGCGGAGACTGTTGCGCAGCTGGGAGACCTTCATGGTTCCGATTTTGGTGCGAGAGAGCTTCTTGGGCTTCACTTCATTGGAAGGGCCTGCGGTCGTTGCTTCTACCATGCTTGCGTCTCGAGAGGGGGTTTGCTGACGTTGTGTTTGGTAGGTGCAGTGGCTGTCGTATGGATAGGGTGTAGTAGTGATTCTCTGCAGAGACTTGTAATGAAGAGTAAGATAGAATGGAATTGAGAGCTTTTAAAAAGGGGAAAGTAAGGCAGCAGCGATAGCTCCACAACAAGGAGCAAAGAAACGAGGTTTCATCGAAGCGAAGACTAGAAAACACAACCTTCTCGACATCGAATGTGTTGTGGACAAGTAGCTCTCGAGATCTCGTGAATGCACTTGACGATTCTTGCAGTCGCTCCATGCTTCGGGCATGAGCAAAGTCTTTCAAGCCGCAGGCTTTCTTTCTGGTTTCACAAACGTACATTTGCAAGAGTTCCGGAACCCGCCGACAAAAGAAAAAAAAAAAAATAGCCGAAACGAATCGACAAACAACAAACTGGTGCCTGCAAGCTTTCCATCAACTTCCTCCGTGATTCTGCCTAGATGTCTCACGGAAAGGTCATACACCCAAGCCCCAGGAATTTCTCCATCTAGCTCCCACCTCATGGCCGAATCCGCAGGATGTTTCCGTACGGATCGGCAGCAATAACGAAATTAATGATCCGAGAAATAAACCCAGCGTTCTTACTAGAAGGGTCGATGTTCACAAAGGCTTGAGATCTCGGATCATTGATTTCTGGAGCGTCCCCAGTGCGCTTGGTGGGCGGCACGTTGAAAGCCTCTCAGCAAGCCTGAGGTGCCAGAAAATCGGGGCCAAGGAGGCCCATGTGCGAGGAAGTGACTTGGGATGATGGCTCGCAGAAGCGAGTCTCATTTTGATAGATAGGCCTTACGCGTGAATTGGATCAGGCCGTCAGAGTTGTTCATCTCTCGGATCAGCTCCTTCGCCCGTTTGGTACCCAGTCCCGTTCTTTCAGCCGTGCGTGAATCCCGCGTACCTCAATGCCACAGGATCAGGATGTGTAGTAGGAAGGAAGCCAGCCGTACATCAACTTGAAAGCTCCTACACCAGAGCAAGTGCGGATGATGCTTCGAAGGTAGCGATGTGACGCATTCTCAGGATGTCGCCATAGAAGTGTCGGCGTTGGGAGAAGGGACTGACGATGAAGTCGCTGGTCGCTACATCGGCGTGGCCGTCATCGCCATTGGTGAGTCTGGGGCGTCCTTCCGTCCTCTTCGTGGCAACGATGTATGCGGAGAGAAGACTTGCGAGCCAAGAGACAATCCTGCAGCAGAGGCCACCAGAAGGGTAAGTGAGGTGCATCTTGTTGTCTTGTTCTGAAGCTCGCCACGGCTTGAGTCTGAAAAAAGAGAGTTCTGGTCGCGAGATAGGAAGTCCCCCACACCCACCTCCAAGACGGAGACCAGTAGCGCCTATGCACCCACTCCTGTTAGAAATCCAAATCCGGCACGGGCGTCACTGGAATATGTCGGCTGATATTTATAGCATGGATACGCGAGAGCTTTGGGAAACTTTGAGAGGATCCAGGATCATTCATTCAAACGTCTCTGACATACTTATAAGTTGTACTTATAAACAGTACCGACGATCATCTCATGGTTGCCCCAGATTCTCCAAGCCCGGGGAGGTTGGAGGCGATTTCCCCAGAACAAGGAAACGTGGGTGTTGGAGAGCTCGGCTTGGCCTGCAGCTTGTTGTTTCGGCCGAGAAGTTAGTTACGCTGCATGTACGGCCGCATACAGTATAGCTCGAGGAGCCATGAAGTACCTACAATCGCATCAATCGATTTCCGCCGAGAAATCTACTTCGCAAGCGCAAGACATGATCTGAAGTCGGGGAACTTGGGACAGGAGGAGACGTGAAAATGAAGATGGGCCGACGTTGATCAGAGGCGGTCGGCTAACCGTTATCACGTGGGTTATATCAAGCAACTCCGATGTCGAGTTCATTCTCCCTTCCTCGTTTCCAGCTTCTTAACTCCGTCGAGTCCTGTCCGAGTTGAAGGTGACGATGGAGTTGCAATATATCTGCGAAGCCTCAAACCAGGTCTGGTCTTACAGGAAGAGGACTTCAGACCACTGATTCTCTTGGCTACTTGCCTGCTTGCTTCTTTCTCCGTATACGGCTCTTACAAAGAGAAGATCTTTCCGCAGCAGCATATCCTCTCTCCTGTAAACCACTAACCAACAAGAACAAATAACAACGCGTACATCAACACAACCAAGCGCTCAAATAACAAACCAATAGCCAGAAAAAAAAACATTAAAAGGATAGAGAAGCAAACTTACCAAAGTATTTCCAGTCCAGAGCGAGAGTCTTCTTTCCACTCGTTCATTCATTCAAAGGAGGTTTGATCGATTTATATTTATATTGATCGGGAACATAATAGCAGTACGTGTCGATATGAAAGGCAACCCTCCCCGTCACACAC